AATATAGAATTTTTCAACAGTCAGATTCTCTATTGTAGGCACAGTACTTAGATAAACAAGAGATTGATTTAAACATTTACATTGATTAGTATTATCAATAGTATTTATCTTGGAAAGTGCATCCAAATTTTTAAATTGGTTTAAAATTTTATTATTGTGTAATGTCATAATCTTCTCAAGATTATCAGTGCAGCTATAATTTAGTTTCTGTTAAATATTTTAATAAGAGGGTTACTTTTAGGGAAATGTTTATTAATTAAATGAAGGAACTTCTGGCCCAACTTAGTACTAACCAATTGGTTAAATAGAGGCGTATACCAAATGATTTTCCTATTTCTATCTCTTTTCTTTAGACTACTATCATCATATATTCTATACTTGATTTCAGCATACTTGTAACCACTATGCTTCAAAACAGTATTATAAACACAGCTATATTTATCAAACACACCTTTGTCAGATGAGTTGTTGCTAATCCTACATTCTATAGACAAGATATATGCTTGATTACAGATGGAGGATGGTTAGAATTTGGGGTGAATATATATTGGGTTGGTATTATTTTTCATAAGTTTGGAATACATCAAAAGGTTATACAAGATAAATAAACCCACCAGGTCAGAAAATTCTGCAGAATCTAATGATCCCATTGAAAAATCAAAGTAATCATCAAAGTTCTGAACTCACTGTTCATTATTGTGGATGAGAACAGATCTTCTACAGTTCAATATTTATTTCTTCACTGGAGATGTTAGAATATTCTTTGGCAAATTCCAAAGGCAGGGTTAAAATTCTACAATATCAAATTGGATAAATGAGCAGCTGCTTTTGTTACTAATTCTTCTGAACCAATTAATGACATCTGTGGTACCAATCCAGTGTATAAGTCCCAGGTGTCATTTAATCTGTTGATTTGATCCAGGATAACTTTGCTAATACTTCAGATTTCTGGTCTGGTAGGGTTGATAATCCTCGTAGGAAGATGATCCGAAAGTTTGGTTTATGATCTTTAAGACATACAATTCTTTAGTACACAGCTTACTAACCCTATTGCTAATTTGAAGTTTATCAGTAATATTACAGGCAGTGTTAATTCTATCAACAAAATTAATAGCGTTAATATTCATCTTATAATTTTTAGTTAAATTGTTTTTTATTAATGCATTGTATTCTTTGGGATTAAATTCATAAAAGTTAGCAGTTTTATCAGATTTAACAAAGATTTGGTTGGTTCTATTAATATCTTTAATAATACAATCTAAATACCTCTGAAACTGATTCCTATTTTTATGAAAAGAGATCATTTATAATGCTTAGTAGATCGTTTTCAAAGCCATGTAAGCACTCAATGAGGTGCAGTTTTTAAACTTCTGAAAGCATTCTTCTAATCAGATCTTCAGTCTTTAAAACAAGTTTTTCAAAATTTAACAAAATTCCAAAATTGATCTTTTCCATGCTAGAGTATTAAATAAATGTAAACAGTGCTAAACCATAGTGGAGCAGTGATCCTTAACACAAGCCACTACACTGTGTTGAGACCTGTGAGTAACGGGGAGGGGGGGGGGGCAAACAGTTAAGACCTGAAAGTTTGTTGCTGGAATTGGAATAAGAAATTAATTTTTCTTTTAAGGAAATGTTTACTTTTTACCTTTGGAGTAATTTAAGTTTATTATTTAAGATATCAATTATAATATTTATTTTATTTGAACTTGCATATTTTATCTTTAAACAAACTTTTTTGGTGCAAAATTCACAAGTGACATTAAGAGTTCATAAATTTAAATTCAATATTTTTCTCTATGCTATTGTTATTCAACAATGAACATATTAAGTATAAAGTTTTTTATGAATAATTTGTTTTTCTTTAACATTTTTTAAAAAGTATGTTGAATTTTTCTGTCCTTTGTAAATAAATAGAAAACAGTAAAAATGTAGTGTTTTTCCATTGCAAAATTAATGAAAAATTACTTATTAAAGAATTTACCCAAGGTGATCCTCACATACACAGACACATATATAATCCACATATTAAGTACATCAATGTCTACAGCTTGATGAAAAGCATTTTATTCTACACAGTATCAACAATGTTTTTTTTTGTAGATGCACTTAATTCATTGGTGAAAATTAATCAGAATCAAATCTTAGAAAGTAGAAAATATCAGATCAAAATTCAGTTAATAAGTACATGTTATGTTACTCTCTTATTGATTCACCTTCAGTTATAGAACAATTTCTTTAGTCACAGTAGCTCAAATAACACATTCTCTGATCATCTGTGACATGATACATTGGGTCCTTTTAATAACGAGAGTAGGTACCAGTTAAAGTGCTTAAAAAGATTTAAATTAGTGATTCACAAAGATGAAAATGTATTATTACTCTGATTAATATAAAACAACATGTTCTGGTTTAGATAGAGACTTCTTAAAAGTGCATAATAATATTGAATAGTTTAACACTTACACACACAGTATAAACTCTAAACACTATTTTGATCTACCCATAACACTAGGGTCTTACAATAAAAGTTTGGTTTTCTGACATACTGTTGGAAGTAAATGCTTATATATGTTAACTCTTAAACAACCTGAATATGTACATTATAAAATCTTAGTATTATATTTCTTGCCTTAACCAAGATATATAGTATGATTAACATCTATGTTATAAGTGGTACACATTTACTATGATAATTTGATAGTACCAGTGTGACTGAATCAGTTAAAACTGTACATACTATTATGGCCGATAAAGGTGGTATCACAACTTTACTTCCACAATTTAGAAATTGTCATGTTTTTAAACAAATAACACATTTTAATAATCAAATAGATATATATATGTTTTTTTTTTTACAAGTGAAGCTACTTGACATTGACGTTTCAATATTGTAAAGCTACTTATTAAAACAGCTTTACAGACGAAAAATAGCCATAAACCTATTAATGTCTACCGTCTCAACATTACAATACCATTTTCATTTTAGAAACCTTTAATTAATACTATAATTTTTATTTTAAAATTAATACAGGAATATACAGTTGGTATTAATAGGTTAATCTCAATGTTTCTTGAAAAAATTTCAAGCACAAATAGAGTAAATTATTGCAGTTATCTCCCTTAGATTATTTTATTAATTAGGCGTGTAAAATTTTCAATTTGAAAAATTGTTTTTTAACTGAGGATTCAGTGTCCAATTTTCAATAAATAAATCAAGCGCTGGGAACCTTTGCACACACCTAATTTAAAAATGAATTTTTAAAAAGTTTTGAGTTCTTTTGTTAAGGTGAAACATTACATAAAATTATTTAGAATAAAAAAAAAAATAACTGTCTAAAAGTTAAATTTGAAGTGGATTATATTACTTATAGTTCTGAAATTATTACTAATATAGGGTACCCAGACAATAGATTCACAGGACTACAGACATCTGGCTTGGTATTGGCATTAATACAATTTCCATTCAATAGATATCGTCAAACCAAGAGATGCATTTCTTTAATTTGTAATATCACTCCTTAAAAAATATTTAATTATGAAAATTAATACTGTACCCCAGGAATATTCCAATAATTGATGGTGTTACATTGCTTTTATAGTGTGTATTAAATGGTCAATTAAAAAAAAGTAGTATCTCTCATTTTCTAGTAGCCTTTCAAGTGCATTTTACTTGCATTTTATTCCAACAATAAGTTGGAAAAGAAAAGTAAATCAGTGAAAATGAAAAACAGAAACACTAGTCACTGTACCAATACAAGTTATAAAATTACTGAAATAAACTGGGACACTGTATTTCTAGAAATTATGTTATACATAATTTTCATTCATTAACTGTTAAACAAAAAAAACGAACATTTTATGCAGAGGTAAAAAAAAAAAAAATTAACATAAGAAAAACCATGAAAAAGAGAAGTTATTTATAACAACGTAAATTATTCCACTTTTTATATCCTTTGCTTACTGTTATCAGTTATTGTCAGTTAATGTGACCATAAAATTAAAGATCATTAGAGACAATGAATAAAAAACATTAAATTAATCTTACATGAACTTGGCTAACCTACCAAACTTGAAAACCATTGGTACCGGAATATACATGTGGTATTTGTACATTTGAAACATAAGCAGCAACCAAAATAAGGAAATCTGAATATCATATTTATTATGTTACTTATTTTATACATCTCATAATAATGTCATTTTGAATATGATGATTGTCTCTGAAATTCAGACCAAAAATATGATTCTCTTCAACAAATTTCCTAGCCTTTGTTGTTTTTAATTACATTTTGGCAACTACCTGCATTTTCAAGTGCCTGTTGCAATTGGTAACCATCTGTGAAATTCAAACGAGAGCCATTCTTCAACACAATGAATTAGAGTTTTCATTCCTTATAGCACAAAATGTCCTTCCAAAAGTATTTCAGTATCTGGAATCATTAACTTTCCCTTTCTGGTGACCCTCTGTTAAAATAGTGTGGGAATATGACCTCAAAGCTTCTAGATGAATGGGGAAAGTCTGCTGGCAATATTCATTTAGTTACTTAGAAGTTATGAGGTCAATCTCCAGGCCAAGCAGTGCAGAAATATACACTGACTCAGTCTAAATGTAAATCAGTATCATAATGAGAACTGATGATTATGAATTCTAGAGCAAGACACCAAATATGATAGATTGGAAATGAGAACAGCATAATGGATTAAATAAAGGGTTTTGTTCAACATTCCAAAAAGGTTTTTGAATGTAATAGACACCTGAAGAATACAGCAGCTGAAATGTGATAAAAACAACAAAGATGAAGAATTATTGTATGGTGAAAGACATAAAAACTTTAAGATTGTATGTTATAAATTCCAAGTATATAATCTACTCTACTTGGTAATTTTTAATTTCTTTCTCTTACTTGGCCCCTCTTCTTTGCTTTTTGCTTCTTTTAGAATATTGCCAGATCCATGTTTTTTGTCTAGTTTCTTTTTTAACTTTTTCTTTTTATTAGTTCTTTCTTTCTCATTCTTGGATTGCGCCTTCTCCTTAGCTCCTTCCTCTTTCAGCTTTTTAACGTTTATATTGAATATATCTGCAAATGTGTTCTCATCGTCACTCTCAAACAATTTGGAAAATTCTTCCCGGTCTTCCTCACTTGCTTTCGGCAGAATATCCTTCTTTGCTTTTATATCTTGGAAATTGTCGTGACCAATAATTGTGTCTTTTGCGGCTATCTGGTGCATTATCTCCCTTTCTCTCAGTTTTTTCCAAGTTTGATAATATTTAGAAACTGGGGGATTGCTTTCTTTGCATTGCCGTTCCCAAGCAGCAATTGCTTGTGAATCGGCCATCTTAACAGACAAACTGTTTCGACGTTCTGTAATAAAATTTGAATTGTCTTCTGCTTTGTCCAGTATTTGTTTTAACTGTTTAGTGTAGTTGGCAACTTTGCATTTTTTAATTATCTCTTTCAGTCGGACTTGCATGGGAAAGACCAGTTCAGGAAAGCCAACAGAATTGGCATATATGTTCAAATGAACCAACAAATGTTCATACACTTGGTCGATCAAAGCATCCTTGAAGGCTTTCTCTTGTACTTGGGTATTGGATAACTTCAGCATGCAGGTAAAACTTAGTGGCTTCAAACTGATTTTTCCGTGTTTTTTGTTTAAATCCACTTCTTCCAGGGTTTCGATTATAAATGGTAAAATCGGAGTGAACTTTCCAGTGGAGGCTGAAATGGAATTTAGCATGGCGATACAATGAAATCGGAGAGGGAAATAACTTACACTGGGAATCAGTTTGATTGTACCTGTAATGATCTGCACCAAAGGATAAATCAGATGTTCAAAAACAGTGCTACCTGGCGTCGAACTCACTAAGAGGCTCCAAAGTTCAAGACATCGAATATATTGCCAGTTGTAAACGGCTTGACAGAGATCTTTCTTCTTCACAGTGAGAGCATTTCGCAAATGAATGGCTTGCTGCCTGATGTAAATAAAGGCGTGTTGGTAAGTGATGTTTTCGTCAATTTTCAAAATTTCTACAAAAGACTGCTGCATGAATTTTATCATAGGTAAAAGTGTGGGTGATGTGAACTTGCAATTTTTTACGTACTCGATGTACATCTTTTTCATACAGGGCTCCAGCATTGTGCTTGGAGACATAGTCACCAGTTTGTTAATACAAAGAAAAGCCAGAACGCGGCTAGTATCTTCACTGGACCCCCATATTGTGATCATTTTTTTCATCAACAACTTAGACAACTTGTTAAACATGGCATAATATAGCACCATTTTATGGACATGTTTTAAAATGATATCCAACATAGACGACTCCGCAATACAATTAATCATTTCTAAAAGACTATAAAGGTAAATTTGAACATCAGCACGAACCTGTGTCCATTTGGCACTTTTTGGTTTAACTGCTTTTCGGATATCCTGGATCTTTGGGAGGTTCAAAAAAGTCTGCAGGGCCGGGGCGATTTTTGTGAGACAAAGTCTTACCAAATCGTTAAAAATCGTGCTACTCTTCACAGCGGTTTTTTCAGTCCCAGACTTATTATTCATTTGTTGAACTGCTACAGCAAAACCATTGATTATGTCGTGTATAATAACCTGGTTAGGGGTAGCAATCTTCTTTTTCCATTCGTTCAATAATTTTTCAGTAATTACCAAATGGGAGGATTCCCTGTTCACGTCTTCTTCACTGTCCGACGCTTTCTCTGATCCGTCACTAGAATCGATATTGTCAAACCTGTCCTCAATGTCCATATAAGCTCGCTTCTTGGGTTTTGAATTAACCATTTTTAATTGCCACGACTCTGAACAGAACACAAAATGAAACGCACGTGGGAACCAAATGGCAAAAAAAATGAAATACGCTAAAGAGTTCCACCGGAAGTGAATCTATTGTAAGTTTATATCTTACGTTACAATTTTACTTGTATGGTAGCTCAACTGGATAAATAGCAAATTACACATAAATGTTTTTAATATGTAAAATAAATAAAATGTATAGATATATTTTTATTATTAATATTTTTGCATTAGTAATGTATTTGATTTCATTACCTAAAGCAGCTTTTAATAAAATTAGCTTCTTTAATAAATATTTTGACGAAAATGTTGTCTTAATTTTTGTCAAAAATAACAAAGATGAGGACAATAGTAGAAATTTATTAATTTAAGGAATAATGATAAATTGACATTATTCTCAAATTTTGAGTATAATGTCAATTTATCATTATTCCTTAAATTAATAAATTTCTATTATCCTCATCTTTGTTATTTTGATAACCTTTCAGTAGGTGAATTCTATGACCTTTCACAAGTATTGTATTCACTTCACAGTACTTTAGTAGTTTTTGAACATTTTTTCAAACCACTGTTACTACTCAGACTCCACTTTAAAACAATTATGTTAGTCTAAATTAGAAAACTAGATTCTCGAAATAATTGGACTAATTCTGTGCTGGGAATTATTCTGACGGGAGCAAAATTTAGTAAACAAACAGTATGGACGAGGCATTGTTCCAAGATTGATGGATGTGACATCTGAAGAAGGAAGGCAAAAGAACGCATCGGCCGAAACGCAGTGACAAAATAAAAACAACAACGATTAGGATACTAACTGATGGAATGACAGTGCAATGCATTATTTCAGACAAGAAATGATTTTGTTTTGTTTCATGTTGTTTTTGTTAAATAGTGAAAAAAAACTTCTTTGTTTCTTTAAAAAAAAACTTTTTTAAATTTTAAATCATATATTTTTTAATTTGAATTTGTTGAAGAGTAACAGTAACACTGAGGAAAGAGTTGATATTCATCTTATTCTTTATGACTTTAAAATTTAAATTATTTATCAAGCTTAGTCCGACATATAAGGCAAACCGAAATTGGAGATTGTGTTGCGCCAATAAAATAAGCATTCGAAATTCAATTAAGTTCAACGCACAAAAACCGGTGAACGACGAATTGAATGAGAAATAAATACACAACTATCTTGATTAGGCAAGACAATAAGACTACACAGAATTTATTGAAAAAAAAACAATTTCTGTAGTGCAGCTGAAGTGAAATTCAGCGTGCCTGTCCTCATACAAGATAAAACAGGACTGTGTCACTTTTTAACCCATAGCTACCAAAAAGCACTTTCCCATTCGGGCGTGGTTAAGGTTTCAAGCTGATGCCTCCAACAAAATTCATAAATGAAAAATGAATTCTCACAATAGTAAAAAAAATTGAGCATGACTTTAATTTTGTTTTTGTTTGTTCTGGTGGCAAAAAGAATTATGAATAAACAAATAATTATTTTTTAAAGTATTTATTCAACCACACGCCCATTCGATAGGAATGTGATACAAGAAGGTCGAGTTTAAAGTGGGTTGGTAGCCCACACACAAAAAACACCCTGTTGAGATAGGTTGCGTTTTTTTTTGTTTTTTTTTTTTACTACTTCACAAGTAATGGGACGAGGTTGATGCACGTGTCCAAATAAAAACCAAAATTTCATTTGAAATCCTGATTTTCTAGGTTATTTCTTCTGACTTGGAAGCTGGGCACGATACCCACTTCCTATAATCAGTTTTTTTTCTTTTCTCTATCTAACCTTATGCCGTATTAAAGCTATGATTAATAAATAAATGAACTTTTCACGCTGTTTCCCAATAATATCAACAGTAGTTTTACCGGAAGTGCAAGTCAGTCATCTCCCTTGCTTACCACTTTTAATGTTTTGGAGGAAAAACATTTTGTTTGTATCTTGTTGACTTAAAAATAATATTCACAGGTAAGAACGAAATATCATACATACATATATAATTCATACTTTTATTGATAAACAGCTTTTAGTTCATGATTTAATATTTCATTATATTTATCACAAACCTGTATGTTATAAGTTTCATTTGCTTTTCCGAGTAGTAAAAAAAAAAAAAACATTGTCAAAAAAGATCAACACCGATCCTCAGTAAAAAAAAAAAAAAAAAAAAAAAATTACCACCACCCATGCCATATAAATTAAAATTTTAATAATATAAATGATATTAAAAATAAAATTAATATAAAGAAATACTTGTTTATTTCGAAAAAAATCGACTCCGCCCACCTTAAGCAAAAATGTCAATACGAAATAAATATGGTTTGGTGGTGGATTAGTAATTTTTAAAGCTTTTACAATTGGATTCGTTTTAATTTTATTTTCATGTGAACGATTTTTGAAAATACATTTTATTATTTGCTTATAACATTTTCGAAGTTGATTTACAATGAAGATATTCGGTGGAGATGAACGTAAAAACAAATGAGAAAAAGAAAACACCGATTTGGAATTAACAAAACATCTTTTTTGAAAATTAAAAATATTTATTAATTTATTTTTGATTTACAATGGTAATACTAACTTTAGTCTTCTTACGCAAGTTACTGACAATATTTTGAGCTGAATTAATGTTTTGTAAAAAATTTTAGTTTAATTACGCCAAGTTGCAATAACCATTTTTTTTTTCAATTATTTAATTTATTGCACATATTGTATTATTTTAAAAATCCAATATTTTCTTATTCGTTAGGAAAGAAGAAAATTCATTGTGATATTTTTGTTTTTAATAAACTGCCATTTTGCTAGTGTGTCGAACCGCTGATTCGAGTTTGTTATTTCTTATTTCTGTCTGCTTTATTTTTTTCTTATTAATATTTCTAAAAATTCTAACTGACTTCAGATGAAGGGTCACTAAAATTACTAAAAAAGTGTATTCTGTAATTTTGTATTTAGAGATGCTCCAGTGTAACTGTGAGATAATTGATGGTGAGTTCGATTCTCCCTGGGAGCTCCATATTTGTGGCATGTGCCAGTGCTAAGCTTCCTTAATAAATTCAATATCCTTAATTTTAAAATAGGTTTATATTTGCAGCGTGAGTCAAGTAGAATATTTTTCGACCAAATTAAAAATGATTTTCGTTAAAGATGTTTGTTTTTGTGCGTGTGTTTTTTAAGTTTCTGTTTTAAAATAATTGTTGATATTTTCCGAGCTGATTGTGTTCTTCAATCATTAATTTATTTTCTCTCAACATACCAACTTTGGAAAATTGACTTGATTCTAATCTAGTTCTAGTAAAAACAATTTTCTTTGGAATAAAAATTTTGTTAAAACGCCATAAAACATACTGTAGTGTAGAATTACCGCTAATTAATTATTTCCACCAAAAAAATAATTTTAATTTAAATTCCCCGAAAGTAAAACTAAAAAGTAAAAAACTGTTTTTTTTGGGGGGGGGTCTTTATCACTATTTCGACTTTTTGATAAATTCTGTGTTTTTTTAAAAAATATTTTTTTAAGGAATGTGAGATCAAAAAGCGTTAAAGAAAAAAGAAAAATATTAACATGTAAATAAATTATGTAGTACAACAATAAGGCTTAAAAGAAAACTAAAAGGTAGCAGAAAAATTCACCTTTAAATTTTTTTTTTTTTACTAACAAAGGTTCATTGTCAAACATTTCAGAGATGAATAACAGCTGTTTTTTTTTTTTTTTTTTTTTTGGCAAAATTAAAAAATGTTCCTAATGTTAAAACAAAATGTTTGTTTTTCTTTTTTATAGTGCTTTAAAAACAATATTATTATTTATTTTTTTGTTCTTATTTGTAGACTTTTTAAAAAAATTGTTTTTGAACAAACTCAAAGAAGCGCTAAATTCAAATCAAACTCTATTGTTCAAGTTACCAGACCTGTTGAATTTATTTGAATTTTAAAAATATTGACTTCAAAATTATACTTGTATTTTTCGTTGTTTTGCTAAAAATAATTATTATTGAACTAAAATTACGTTTCTGTTGGTTTCGGCCGATGCTTTTTTTCGGCCTTCTGCGGCTACACTTCTTAATCAAGGCTAACACTTATCCAACTTAGTTCTGAACGTCAGCGATTCCCGCAGACACCATCAATACATTTTTTTTTTTTTTTTTTTTTTTTTGTGAGTGAAACTGACGCCCATATTTAGTTTCTATATGAATGGTACACTTGACTAAGGCAAGCCAATGAATGCATCGGCAGAAAAACTTATAGTGCTAAAAATCAACAATATATTATCAATTACAATCCGAACAAATGGAACCCAGGTAAAATGACTCAACAAATAAGACTACCAAATAATTTCAGACAGTCAATTTTCAAATTAATTCAGACAGAAGATAGCTGACTTTCTTTCTTTCCTTTTTTCTCAAACAATTGTAGAAATAGTTTAAAATAAAATTCATGTCTTTGATTAATTGAGAAAATATCATGCTTATTATTAGCTTATTGTTTACTTTATCAAAATTTTTCATTTATATCCATAAATTAAACTAAAAAAATGATGTCAGTGGTCATCGAGTCATTATTTCTTTTACAGTATACTATCTCAGTATTATTTTTTCATTAGAAGCCTGTTGGCAATTCAGTTATTAAATGTCATTGTCAACTAATGCTCTAGTTGTTTTCTATACAAGTTACTGGGTTACTGCTGTTTTGAGAGACACTTTTTGAAAAGTATCTTTCACATACAAAAAAGTGCTTTCACATACTGACACTTGATTTCTTTGCTACATAAAAAATTCCTTGTTTATTTATGTGATCTATTAGTTTACTTTAATGTATTTCTTGCCAAGGACTTTTTTTTTGATTTGATCACTTTTTTGGAAGATAATGCTTAGCCTGCTGTTTTTAACGCTTTATAACTTATTTTCTCTTCTTACACCTACTCACCAGTGGGAAACAGATGTATGTAATTTGTGTGAATAATGTTTAGTTTACAAATCTAAATTTGTAGTGTTGTGAAAGTTTTGTAAACACATTTATTTGTACTTGTAATTTGATATACCTTTATGTTACTTGCCTATCCTCCCTTTTCTTATGCAATATAATAATTGTTATACATTTAAAATTGTCAACAAATGCATGATGATTCAGATTGTAAGGTTAGTCCCATTAATAATTTTCATTTGTTTTCCAATTCAAACTCAATAGAAAATGAAACAACTAAAACCTCTAATAATCTCAGCTTATCATTTTTAGTCTTAATATTTTATATCACAAAAGGAAATCCCTCCTGCCTTTCTCATATACTGGATTAAGACTTTCATCTTGTTTAATAAGGATTTTTTAAATGCCATAGGATGTCATGTGACATTTACAGCTTTGTTTGTGTAACCTGAATTATAAATGCCTCAGTTCATTAGACAAAAATACTTGCAACCCTTTTGCTTTGTAATCACTCATTAATTTTTAATACTGTATTACAGGAACAAGTTTTCAGGCTTGTTGGCAAGCTCTACTCCCTTAAATAAACAGAAATTCTTGTCTGGTGTATTAAAATATAATCATATCTTCAGTACATTTAGTGTTATAGAATTGGGTTGCATTTTCCAAGTACATCAATGTTAATCAGTGGAATGTTTAAAGTGGCAACCTTTACTCACAGTTTAGGTTGAAATAAAACTGCACAGTCTGTTATGAAGTTATTCTCCATGATTATTGTATTGTACACAAGTGCTAGACTGAATTGGGAAAATGTCTCCTTATCTTGTTTTAAATTTGTTTTTTTTTTTTGTTTTTTTTTTTTCCTTATTAGTACTTATTAACTAATAATAATTTTTCTTTTGAACTGAGCCATTTCTACAAATCTTTCAAAATAATTAAAAAAAAATTTTCTATCTGAACTGATATTGCCTGGAATTTTCCCATTCTAATATACAAGCTAATGTTCTATATCTTGAAGACAAGAATTTGATGTTTGTTAAAAAAAGTGTTTCTACTTCATACATTTTCTACCTGAGTTTGCACTGTCCTTCAACAGCTGCTCTTCGGAATTCACTCTAAACAAGACAGGTGAACTTATTCACTTGTTTTGTTTTTTGGGGTTTTTTTTTTAACACTTTCACCAGCAGATGTTAATTAATATTTTAGCTACTTGACCTGTTAAGCACCAAATGACATTGTAATATCCCCCTTTTTGAAGTCTGTCTTTGTTTTCATTTTGTCCTCTGCATTATAATATGTGATTTCTAGCAATACTATTTATTTTCTAGAGAATCACTATTGTCTTATTCTTGGCATATATATATATATATATATATATATATGCACACACACACACACACACACACACACACTGTATTTATGCAGTAATTCCTCTTTTATATAAATTTCATTAAAAATGATTGACAAGGTACAAGGTTATATATATATATATATATATATATATATATATATAAGGTGCTGAAGGTATTATCTTTCTCCACAAAGTTTGTATAATCAAGGTAACAAATACTATGATGGTATCAAACATAATAGACTCTTGAATGATATGTGTTGCTTATATTTTGCATTTTTTTTTTTTTTTTTTTTTATACAGTAGTGTTCACCCTGACAAGGCCTAAGGGCCACTTGAAGTAGAGTTAGAAAGTAAGAGGCACAGTTTATGCAGTTGTGTGTGAAAGTTAATGATTAACACTAGACTTGAACAAGATTGTAGTGATTGGGGAAGCAACCTCTTGGGAGTCAGTTTCACAAGGCAGTGGTTTGTGGGAAGATTCTGAAACTTGCATCTCACCAGGGGAATACAAAGGAAATGAGGGTAGTTCACAACAAAGTGCATAGCATGGTGGTTCTTAGCCATTAGGTCTGGAACTAAGGGGTGTAATTCATTTAAACACTCACCATGGAGATAGTGATAGAGCAGCAAAAGGTTTGCAATGTCTCCTCTGTGAGAAAGGGATTGCAGAATGTAAAATAATTTGTCACCTACAAACATG